GCGAGATTCTGCCCTCTGCTGCTGCTCCTGCTGCTGGGGCTGTGAGTGGCCGAGGTCCCAGTCAGCACCAAACCCAAACACATGACCTCAGCTCAGTGGTTTGACACTCAGCATGTGCAGCCCAGCCCCCGGGAATGCAAAAGGGCGATGGGCAACATCAACAAGCACACAAAACACTGCAAGAGCCTCAATACCTTCCTGCATGAATCCTTCCCCAGTGTGGCCGCAGCCTGCCAGACCCCCATCACAGCCTGCAAGAACAGTCACGAAAGCTGCCACCAGAGCCAGAAGCCTGTGTCCCTGACCATGTGAGAGCTCCCTGTGGGAAGGTACTGAGGTTGCAGGTACACAGAGAAGCGTTCTTTATTGTGGCCATGACCCTCCACCACAGAAGGATGGCACAAGGCGCCTGCTGGTTCCTGTGCCCTTGGATAACATTATCTAAAGTCAGGTGTGTCCCTCACCCCAAGCTCTGCAGACTCCTGACACTGCTGCTGCTGCATTTTCTCCCTTGAGTTCTTTACTAATCTTTAGCCTCTTTGCAAATAGCACTTCTCTCCCACACACCCAACTCCACATACTCTTAATTCCAAAGGGGCTTTATGGGTGCCTTAAACTACGAGGGAAGAAAGGTGGTTCTGTGGTTCTCGTTAGCCCTTCCCTGCTGCTTGCATTGCTTTCTGAGTGTGTGACACCATGTGGCCCATCCAGCCCTAAGGATCCCAGTCAGCAGGGTGGGTCCAGGTTTGGTGGGGTCTATGGCATATATAATTTTGGAGACCATCTTAAAAAAGAAAATATAAAGTTACAAATACAAACTGAGGTCAGGGCCTTAGAAGGGCTGTGGTCAGACTGTTAAAGGGACCCCAGGCAGAGGAGATTATCTAAGGAAGGAGGGCAGGAGAATCCGAGATGATTATGTGTCTGCTTTTGCTCCAATAAAAGACTGCTGTTCCTGACTGAGGGTGTGTTACTGTCTGGGGCAAAGCATGGGGGTTTGAAAAACCCCTTCTTATCTCCGTGAGGCATCAGCTTCACTTGTCTGGCAGACAGCAGAGAGGGCAATACCCTGAGCAGCCTGGACTCTGCCATCCACCCTGTTGAGAACTGCCTGGTGGTCCCATTTCACATGAAGGGGAGGAAGGAGAAGAGCAGGCTAAGCCCTGGGATGTCAGTCACGCCTGGGGCCTGACCCCCTTGTTTGTCCTAAACTCCTGACCTCATGCCTCATCTGTATGATCCAGAGCAGGAACCTCAGCCTCCTTACGTGAATTTCTCTCCCTTGGGAATTTCAGAATCAAGACCTTCCAAAAATCCTGATCTGGTCCTAACTAGTGCTTCTCTAACTAGCTGTGGTGAGGGACTGGTTTCATGGGCAAATCTGCCTCAGACCAGTAATTCCATAAAATACAATAAAGTAAAATAGGACATACAGATATCGAAAACCCAAGGTCAAATTTTATATTATTGGATTCGATTAACATAAAATCACTCTATAAAATTAGCATAAGAGCTTCTCAATGCTTTCTCTCAATTTCTATACTTATCTTGATATATACTCACACAGACAGAAATGCACATATAAATACCAAAGTAAGACATACACACATACATACATAGAAATATGCACTCACACATGTGAGTACATACACGAACACAGTAAGGCAGCCCCTCTTCTTCCCTCTGCCGACTCTGTCTCCTCCACACACACCCCTTCCCATATTAGAAAGATTTTTCTTCACAGACTAGGTCTCAGAATAGGGAAAGGATGATTGGTGAAATGCGATGTGGCAGAGAACGCACAGAATCCAAACTCTGACTCCCAACCCCCTTCCCTGCATTCTAGAAAAAGAGATCTAAGGCAGAGTGAGCTCCGGCTGCCCACCACATCCACACTATCCACCCCAAATATAGCTCCCCACAGCATCCAAGAGGCCTCTCCACACCATGCTCTGCCCACCAGTGTCACTATTCACCCACCCCTGTGCTTCTGACCAAGGAAGACAGACTGGAAGTGAGAGACAAACAACATTCTTCTACCCCTCTGTCTTTACCCCAGTGCTGTGCCGTGGGCAGGCTCCACTTCCTCTGTCTGCACCTTAAATGATGGTGTTTCTCGGGGCCCTATTCTTAGCTCACACTGCCCTACCTTGAGTGACTTGGTTTTCTTCCATGATCCAGCCCCGATCTCCCAAGTTCCAAGCATACGTCTCCATCTACCTACGGTTACTAACCTCCTCAGTGTCCTGCAGTCATCTAATGAAAAACACTCAGAACTGAGGTCAGATCTGCCTGGCTTCCAAACTTGCCTCTGCTCCTGCAGTCTCTCAGCCTTGGTTAGTGGAAACATCATATCCCATCATTCAAGGTCCAAATCTAACAGACATCTGTGTCAGCTCATTTTGTTTCTTCACTTGTTTGTCTGTTTCTCCAGTAATTCCCATGTATCCCAGGTACTGACTTAAGGGAGCACAGAAGTTCTTGAGTCTTCCTTTTCCACATATCTCTAGGTTCCTAATATGTGCCCAATGTTTGTTATGGCTTTGGAGGAAAGTTTGATTTGGATAAAGGCAAACACACTTAAGTTGTTGCAATCAAGAATTCACTGTCTAGCCCTGGCTGGTATAGCTCAGTGGATTGAGCGCCAGCCTGTGAACCAAAGGGTTGCCAGTTCGATTCCCAGTCAGGCACATGTCTGGGTTGTGGACCAGGTACCCAGTAGGGGGTGCATGAAAGGCAGCCACACATTGATGCTTGTCTCCCTCTCTTTCTCCTTCCCTTCCCGTCTCTCTAAAATTAAATAAATGAAATCTTAAAAAAAGAATTACCTGTCTAACTTCAGAGGCGGGTAAAAAGAATACATTTGAAACATATCAAACAACAGAAGAGTATAATGAATTCCATAACTTTTTCCTCCCACCTTCCCCAGAGTTTCATGCATCCTAACCCAAAGCCCATTCCCTGTTACATGTTAACCTTCCTGTTACATGTCTCTGGTGTAATGTTAGGTCTGCAACCAGAGTTAGGCAAACCAGGAAAAAATTCAGCCATCTGTAGGAGTTGTTGCCCCAGAGACTGGAAAGAGTGTGGAAAGAATTCAGAATAGAATGAACCCTTAAATAGATTAATTATATCTAAACAAGTGGTGTAGCAACCTGGGTAGGAGTTCCTGACTTCCGTGTGTAGGTTGAAGAATTAGATGGAGTGTAATTTGAATCTAGGGGCCTTGGGCTGTGAAATTGGCTCATTCAGAGAGTAATGACAGAGTCCACAAAACGGGGCTCAGTGAGCACTTAGAGGCTCGAGAAGAACTTTCCCAAAGCCTTGGGGCACATCTCCGCTGGTCCCGCTCTCTGGGCCACTGAAGACCTGTTTCCAAAAAGTCACCTGGGAATGGGGCTCCCCAGCCGTTTGGGACAACAGAGTTATTTCCTGGTGGGTAAGTCTGTTTTCATATCCAGAAAACTTTAAGTTAGGATGAAATGTTTAAGAGAATCAAACATAACATCACTATGTTTGTATTAAGGAATTCATGCATATTTGGTATTTTAGGTTTTCGCATTAATTTAGTCTGTTATAGTAACAAATTGGCCTTGTAATTCTAACTTAAAATGTGTAATTGGTTTAGACGTGTGATTTGAAATAGAACTTTCCTTTAAAAGCGATTTTAGAACATTTAAGGAAACCTAAGAAGTAAATCAGCCCTGGCTGGTGTGGCTTATTGAACTGAGTGCCAGCCTGCAAACTGAAAGGTTGCCGGTTCGATTCCCAGTCAGGTCCTGCATGCGTGGGTTGCAGGTCACGTCCCAAGTTGGGGGCGTGTGAGAGGCAAGTGTTAGACGTTTCTCTCTCACACTTCGGTGTTTCTCTCCCTCTCTTTCTTCCTCTTTTCCTCACTCTCTAAAAGTAAATAAATAAAATCTTTTTAAAAAATTTAATAAGAAAAAAGAATTGAACCACCACATTTATAAAGTATTAGATTTGTAAAAGCTCTTTTGTTTTTCAGGAATGTTTGTTGGTTAGCTCAGATGACCAAATTAGTTTATAAGGGCATGAAATAATTTGAATTTATAAAATATATTTTAAATTTGTTTAAAGGAGTCTTATTAACTACATTTATAAATGGTATCAGATAGTCATCAAGTACAACCCTTTAAACAGATTGAAATGTACTTGTTTGTAAGTTAAATATAAAAGCTTAGGCCCTAGGTGGGTAGCTCAGTTTCTTGGAGCATCATCCTAACACACCAAGGTTGCAGGTTCAATCCCCAGTCAGGGCACATGCAAGAATTAATCAAGGAATGCATGCAAAGGTGAAACAACAGCCTGATTTTCTCTGTCCGTCTGTCTCTCAAATCAATAATTTTAAAAAAAAACTTATTTTTACTTAAAAAAAGCTTAAGGAAGAACTGGGCCTCTAATTTTCATTTTTTATACAGGGAACATAAATATTAAAAAGCCAAAGTAGCCCTCTGAAATGCTTTTCTGGACTCAAAAAGTACATAGCAAAAAACTCACAGTGCCATTGCAAAACCAGTCCACTTTCTGTGTCGTTCTCATCTACACGATGCAGTTAGCTTTGGTGACCTTCCTCCCTGGTGTTCTCGTGTTTGTTGCTTTTACTAAGCTTGCAGGAGGGAGGGTGGCCACTGATGGTGCAATAGCCTGGATCAAGGCCCACAGCTGGCAGTAGCGGCACCAGAATTGAACCTGGAACTGTATCTCTCCTCAGTGCCCCCTTCCTCTGCACTGTGCTGCCTTCAGGTGGGTTATCCTGCCAACTTAAAGGGGGTCTCCCTTTGGATTCTACAGGAACTGAGAAAGGGAAGTGTACTTCCCTGAGGCCAGTGTGGTGGTGGCAGAGGAATTCAGCAACATATTCAGCACAGCATACTGAAAGTTCTGTGACACGGATGGGAGGAGTGCAGGCAGAGACCTGTAAGTGGGCAATGAGTCCAGGAACGGGGATGTCAAAGAAGTGAAGATAAATCTGCACCCACCTGCTTAGCAGTTCTAAGGATGTGGGCTTGTCCTCATTGACTTCCTGCTGCCACAGTTCCCGCGTTGCCGGCTGCTGGAGACAGCTAAGAGCCTTCCAGTGAGGGCTCGGGCTGCCACTAGACATACCTGGCCCACGTCACGTCTTCACAAATGTTTGTTTAACAGCATTTGTTTTCAGAGCAAAGGAATGGGGCCAGGAAAATACACACATCACAAATCTGGAAAGCTTATAAAGTAATTTCCTTTAAAACTTTCTCATTGTGCTTTAAAATCCTCAGAAAGAGGGAATTCACTACCAGGAGACAGCCTGCGCCATTTTCAGGCAGCTCTAAATATTAAAAATTTCCCTTGCCCTGGTTGGTGTGGCTCAGTGGATTGAGAGCCAACCTGCAAACCAAAGGGTCACCAGTTTAATTCCCAGCCAAAGCACGTGACTGGGTTGCTGGCCAGGTCCCCAGTCGGAGGCATGCAAGAGGCAACCACACGCTGATGTGTCTCTCCCTCTCTTTCTCCCTCCCTCTCTCTCTAAAAATAAATAAATAAATAAATTTTTAAAAAATTCCCCTTACTGAACCCATTCTACATTTCTGTCACTATAGCAACTCATGATGCCCTAGCTCTTGAGCCATTCAAAACAAATCCAATTCCTCTTCACACTCAGCTTTTTCAATGTCTTAGGGGTTTCATCATCGATACCCTCCTAATACAGGACTGGGAAAAAGCAGGTTTACAGTTGTTCATACAGAAAATAATAAAATAATTAGTAAATAATATACAAGTATAAATGGCTTCACCGACTCCCAACCGTAAACCTACTTTTGCCCCACCCTGTATTGCCTCATTAGGTAACAGCAAGAGCTATAAAATGGCTCCTACTGCTTGATCCAATAATTCCACTTGCTAAGCTAGGGTAAATAGAAGTAAATCAAAGTGAGGAGGAGTAAATTTATGCAAATCTGCTAACACTTTTCTTTGTGTATCAGAAAAAAATTAGAAATAATACAATCTAAACAGGCTTATAGATACAGAGAAAATAGACTGATAGTTGCTAGAGAGGAAGGTAGTTGAGGGGGGCAGACTGGGTGAAAAAGGTGAAGGGATTAAGAAATAGTACAGTGGTAGTCACGCAATAATCCCAGGGATGTAAAGTACAGCATAGGGAATATAGTCAATAATATTCTAATAACTATGTATGGTGCCAGTTGGGTATTCAAAATACCAGGGGTACCATTTGGTTCAGCATATGATTATCTAACCATTATGCTGTGAAGCTAATACAAAATATTATTTAAACTGTAATTAAAAAATAAAATTAAAAAATACAATTCCTCAAAATTGAGAATGACTAAAAAATATATAAGGGAACTCTTTGACACTTTAATGGAAGCATCGAGTTATCCCTTTAACTGAAGACAAATACACAAAAATTACACTGACATGTGGAAATAAGGGTGGGCAGTGCCACGTGAAGAAAACAGAACAGGAAACTATGTTTTCATTGGGTTATATCAATAGAGTCCATATGTGAATGTGGAGACTTTCCAGAACTCCATCTCCAAACTACGCTTCCTCCAGACTCTTCCAGCCCAGTGAATCTACATCCAACCCAGAAGCTGTTCCACACTTACTTTTAATTTCACCCTGTGCATCTCCCACTTGCAAGTGTCAACCAACCTTGTTTTCCACCTCCATTCTTGGTCTGTGGGGCTTTCTGCTCTCCTTACACTCTTTATCTGGAGGGGTGATATCTCTTGGGACCAAATCAGACACTGTCTAGCTACAGCAGTGACAAAATAGACAAGGTCCCTGAGTCCATAGGGCTCATTTAAAAATATGTACTGGATGCCCTGGCTGGTGTGGTTCAGTGGAGCGAGTGCTGGCCTCTGAACCAAAGGGTCGCTTGTTCAATTCCCAGTCAGGGCACATGCCTGAGTTGCAGACCAGGACCCCAGCTGGGGGCGCACAAGAGGCAACCACACATTGATATTCTCTCTCTCTTTCTCCATCCCTTCCCCTCTCTCTGGAAATAAATAAATAAATAAAATCTTTTTAAAATAAATAAAATATGTAGTGGTGAAGGTGGGCTTATGAGAGAAAATAAACAAATAAATACGTAATCAAATAGAGATAATGCTGTGAAGAAAAAACAAAATAGCATTATCAGGAGGTACAATGGGAACACTGAACCAGGTGGTCAGGGAAGACAATTGAGAACGCAGCACTTCAGTGCTCACTGTGGCAACACATATACTAAAAATTGGAACAATACAGAGATGATGAAAACGCAACACGTTAGTTAGGACTGAAGGATGAGAGCCAGCCACTAGAATTGTGAAAGTGAGGCCAGCAGGCAGAAGGAAAAGTGAGCAAAATAGCCCCAAATTAGGAACAAGCAAGGCATATTTGAAGAACTGAAAGGCCACGATGGCTGGAGGGTTACTAGTAGTTTCCGACTCAGGGTAAGAAATGAGGCTGCAGAAATAAGCAGAAAGAAGTCATCACCGTTGGAAAGGGTTGATGTGACCTGATTGAGGTTTTTGGAACATCACTTTGGCAAGGGTGCTGCAAATGACTTATAAGGAGGTGAGAGTGGACGTTTGGGACATTTAAACAAGTGTGGAAACAAATGTGCCAGCACAAGCAAGATGTTGGTGCCATGGACTTTGGCAACATCTAGCTCAGAGAAAAAAGTTGTAAACTTTTAAAGGAATCTTACCAATAAAATAAAACAAAAACTAAGGGGAAATTTAAAAAATAGAATGGAAGTATATACCCCGCACAGATTTCTTATCCTAGGATAAGGTGTGGCCCCATTTTTGGAAGGCAGAGGAAACAAAAAGATATTCTCTCAAGTCTGTCCCTTCCTGTCCCTAAAATTCCCCTTTGGGGTCCTTCATTAATTCCTGCTAGTCTCCAAGTGGACGAATAGGGAGCAGCCTAGAGCCCCAATACTACATACGATGGTAGTTGTATCCCTTGGTGTACACAAACTAGATAATAAACATTATAGACACAATGTTTCTTCCACCTACTCTCATGTTAGGATAACACTCCTTCCCTATAAGAACCATACTGGAAATTTCTTGGGGATTATTTTAACTATAACACTTCAGAACAAGTCAAAAGAAAAAAATAGCTTTTATTCTCTGACCCATAGGAACATATCTATCACTTTTATAACTTTTTCAGGACTGGCTACTATAAAAATAAAGCTAACAACTTTAAACATGATGGCTAGGTGGTCGAAGGGGTGGTGTAGTGTTCAGAGTGTTTCTTTTATGGACTTGGACAGCTAAGATGAAACCCTGTAACTCGGTGGTTGGCAGTGAAGTCTCTGGAGTTAGGTTGCTTGAGATCAAATCCTGGTTTCTCCACCTACTTTGTAGTTTACAGCAAGTTATTTAACTTCAATAAGCCAGCATTGCATCTGTGAAATGGGAACTTGATAAGCCCCAAAGAATCTGAAATTGATGAAACATGGTGAGAACTGTCTGTGAACGCAGGAGAGGGCTTCTAAACCTGCTCCATCCCCTGCCTCCAATTCCTCATCATCTTCCCCTTTCACATCTCCCAAAAACATACACATTGACACACACTCTATAGTGCACACAAACACGTACCACACCTACACACTCTTAGGTAGAGCCTGAATTCTTAGGAAAGTGGTATTTAACCACTATACCTAATAAAATAAGCCTTTCTAATTTATCACAGATGAAAACAACTCCTGGAAAGCAGTCACCAGATCTCAGACCCCGCACCAAACTCCCTCACAGTACAAGCTCAAAAACTTTCAATGACTCTCTTTTTTTTTCCATAGGGGAGAAAAATGATTCACTTCTTTTTTCCGGGAGTTCATAGACTCCCACAACCAGCTTAATTTATACTCCACTTTCTAATTGTGGGAACCTTAGGCTCTACCAACTGTTTCCCAAACAACTTGCTTCAGTATAAGGAATTTAAGACCAGGTAAGGGAAGGTTCAGACTGCTTCAGCACTAAGAATGGATGAGCTGGGTTTGAAACAAGGGAATAAGGTTCATAATCCAGTTGACTCTTGAGCAACACAGGTTAGAACTGCCCATGTCCACTTATACTCAGACTTTTCCATAAATACCTGTACTGTTTCCATCCATGATTGGGAGTCTGAGGATGCAGAAGACCAACTGCATTGTTTGGCCATTTTATATAGTAGATTTGAGCATCCATGGATTTTGGTATTAATGGGGGTTCCTGGAAACAACCCCCCTCCAATATTGAGAAACAACTTAAGTTTTAGAGGAGTCAAAAGTTGTATGTGGATTTTTTATTGCACCAGCGTTGGGAGTCAACTCCATATTCTCTAAGAAAGTTTCTTAAGTGTTGGCCTCTGGAACCAGCTACTGGGCAGCATTTACCCAGTGGACACCAGGGGGTAGCAAAATCACACTCTCCGGCTTCCCAGGCACTAACCCTAAGGAAGCTGGAGCGTCCTCCTGACTCAGTGCCTCATAACCCACGGACAGGAAACAGCTCAAACTCCTTGTCTCTAACTCTGCTGGAAAGATGGTCGCCAGGGTTTGCTGCTCTAGATTAATCTTTTGATGCTATGGAGTAGAGGGACCTTGCCTCAAAAAAAAATTCTCTCACCTCTTTTACAGACCCAGTGGAGTGGGAAAAGGGTAGAGATTAGTTTTCTAAAAAGAGAAGAGCCATTACATCTAAGCGGCAACCTCTTCCAAGACTGCCCAGAAATTCTGGCCTCCTGGCTTCATAGGAGCTGCATCCTCTGGCAGGGATGCTTTCCAAGTGTCACGCCTCAGCTAAAGTGGTGCATGGCCTCTAACCCCTCTCTGAGAACTATGTGGCTTTTTAGTTTATTGATTGATGAAAGAGAGAGAAATTTGTTTTTCCTCTCATTCGTGCATTCATTAGTTGACTTTTGTATGTGCCCCTACCCTTGATCCAACCAGCAACTTGACACTTACGGAGGAAGCTCTAACCAACTGAGCTAGCCCGCCAGGGTATATTTGGCTTTGTATTCTCCTTTCAAATTCCCACCCTTTAGAAGCACCACCCACCCCATCCGACTCCTACCTCCCACCCCTACCCTCCACCCCACCTGCCCCTGCAGGGCTTCCAGTGCCCGCTCAGAGGAAGGACAACACATCTCCCTACTATGTCTAACTTCCCCCAACCCTCCTGGGGGACCCTCGCTGAGCTTTCACTTTCCATCCACCCATCCGAGAGCGAGCGGGCGGGTGAGGCTAGAACGTTCTTAATAAGCCTACGCCCACTTTATCTGCGGTGTCAGATAGCCGTCCCCACCGCCCTGAGCCCCAGCGGCCCTGCGAGGCTATCGCCGCCCCACAAAA